TTCACTGTCTACATCGGGAACTTTCGGGTTTGATTAACTAATATTATATTTCCTATTAACTTATTGCGATAAGTTACCGTTAATATTATTGAGCTAAAACTGAACCCAACCTTCTAAAGTTACTTAGAAAGTTTATGCACATGCGTATGTTATATTACACATACCCGCTCACTTATATAAAATAAATTTAAATATGATTGGCTCGCCACCTCTGCACCATACCTGCGTTGGCGCGCCAGCTGGTGCACCAATTTGGTGCACCATTGGCGTCGCCAAGTACCCTGCACCACCAACTCTACTAATCAATCAATGATCGAAGCAATTCATTAAGCAAAATTATGAATCACCTGAATAATATTACTATAATAGTTATAAAATTTTAATAAGCTAACGCAAAAACAAGATGGGTTGAGACATAAGTTTTGGCCAGAATAATATACTCACTGATCATTCTTTTACTATTAAAATTTTTCTTAATGTAATAAACTATATAACCTATTATTTATCTTAATGATAAATGTTACATTTAGTTAAAATATTTCCCACTAATTAAAGTTTAATTTCTAACACATTTTGACATATTGATTAACTAATCAGAACACATAGAAAAAGTATTAGTATTAGGGTGTATATATTACTTTAAACATTTCTATTAAATAATAATGATACTCATCTGCTAAATCAATTTGGATAAAAAAAAGATTTGTGAAATAGCCACTGATTAAATAAGCATAAAAAAATTAATGAGAAATCAAATTATTTCAATTCAATTAATAAATAATTGCAATATTCACAGTTGATAAAAACTGGATTATAGATTATTGCGGTTTGCAAAATTTTGTAAATTTGGCAGATCGTCAAAAAAAAAAGGAATCGATGATTTCTAATTTCTAATTGCCGATTTCTTTAACATTGCTTCTGTTGACGTATGAATATTATACTAATTAAAGACTTGTTATACATATATATATATTATATATATATTTATTTAACATAAATTTTTTTTAAAAAAAAAACATTTATAATAACAAAATTTATTATCCCGTAACATGCTTTGAATGCACAATGTGTCTTTTTTGTACAACTTTTAAAATTTATTCTTTACAACATGATGAATATACATATTATATTCTTACAAAAGAAGCTAAATCAAAATATGTTTCAAAATTATGAATCTACAACTTTTATTTCTGCAAAAAAAAATGTTATAAAGAAATCGGAAATCAGAATCAGAAATCATCGATTCCTTTTTTTTGATGATCTACCAAATTTACAAAATTTTTGCAAACCGCAATAAATGAATACTGATAGATAATTTCAAATACCGAGATTTTAATTAATAAAAAATTATTATACTTGCTTAAATTAACTTGGATAAGAAGAGACTAAAAAAGTAATGATTATTAGCAGGAAAATTTAATGGGAGATGCTGCATATGTAAAGTGAAAGCGATGAGTGAATGCCATCGGATTACCGTAAAAGATCGCTCTATATATCAGATCCCCTATGAATTAAACCCGTGTATGAATCACAAGATCTCTATTAAATAAATGCAGATGTTTTTAAAAACTTATACTACTTATTACATATGCAAAGTATGTATGTACTTTAGAATTTACCTTGCCGCAATATAAACGCTCAGCTGTGTACTAGACCCGGGCCTACTATAGGTTTTAAAATCGGTGAAATGTAACAGACCGGGTCTTGTATATGATTTTTTACGGTAGAAGGCATCAACAATAGAACTAAATGAGAATAAAAATAAAGAGTCGAAACCTCCTTTGAAATTAAAAGTTAAGTTTTTATGATTGCATCATTTTTTTTTTCCAATAGCCAATAAAATTTTTTTCATTAATTCATTCTCTTTTGGGTCAGCAATAATATTACTGTATTATTGAAGTTATAAGGTGATAAATTTATGTACTTCATTAGTTAATAGTCATGTTTTAAATATTTGCCCTGTAGTCCTTTTTATATTTTCGGTATTGAACTTTTCGCATTTTAATGCATTTTAATCAACAATCGCAAAAAAATTATTTAAATAATTGGGTCAAATAAAGTTATTATGCAAATTTACTGGCGAAAAAGCAATACGAAAAACCTTATTCTGCTCAACTATTTATGTAGATATCTTTAAATAATACATTTCTATTGGTTATTCATTATTTATACATGTCAAATTACTGTTTAAATTTTTGGAAGCAATAATTATAAATGATTTTACATTGTCAATATCTTCAAAAAAACAAGAAGCGTTTATTATTAACATGAACTTTTGCAAAACTTTGTCAAGAATCAAAAGTTATTTAAAACATAGTTTGAAGTATACATATGAGATCATTAAGTTTAACGTTTAAATATCTCAAATATTTAATTTTTTAATACTATATAAAACATCGCATCATACCTCCATTTCTGTAAAGCTAATGATCAAAATTTATCCAATAATAGCAATTTATTTATTCTAATTTTCTAATTTATAGGACTAATATTTGATTATAAGGTATTTATAAAAGTTTAGCTCTACAACCACCACATCCAGGTCTCCCTCCAACAAAATTTGCATAATGATCTGCTGAATATTTACAAAATTCCTCTGCATCTGGATCATTTATTGATTCGGCAAAGCAAGATTTAGTTTTAATATTATATCCCCATCCAATACAATTAAAATCTGCCGAACATTTTCTGCAGCAATCTTCTAAACTCACTGCATCATAACTCATACTATAAAAACCTCCTGGTAATTGGTTCATAATGCCAGGTCCACCTGTATCACAACAATCCAATGCAGCTGTTGGTGTAGGTTTTGTAGTTTCTGATTCTGTTGGTATAGCAAATAAGGTAGACGCTACAATAGTTTCTACGAATCCAGCAGGGATGTTATTATTATTGATTTGTAAACAAAGGCCATTATTACAAATAGGAATTTCCGTGAAATTTTGTTCCTGATAATTTTTAAATTGTTTGGATTCTGTGATTACGATCGCATTTTCGCTTTTCTTATCTTCAGCTTTAATATTTATTGCCGTAAAGCAAACTATGTGAATGATTAAAAATAAGCGCCAAATGCTATTCGCATTCATTGCGAACAAAACTTTCTGTAAAATGAAATTTTGAAAGAAACTTGTATTAAGGAATGTATCATATACTTAAAATTTCATGGAAAAAAATGGATTGAAAAGAACGAAGAAGTGTACACATCGCAGATAACAAAAAAGTTGATGCTATTTACATGTTTGCCTCAAGAATTAATGTTGTGTGACCTTTTCAGTTAGCTTATGCTGTACAAAGATACCTATGTAATACTGTATTACTGATGATACATTAACCAATTAAAATAAACCAATACATGGATTTGTTTATTCTTACGCTCATTTTTTTTAAATAAAATAAATAGTACACAATTCACACAATTTGACTTTTATTTTACAAAATTCGTCCGTATGTACGCTTGTGTCAGGAAATACTATAATAGATAATTATATATTGAATCTTTTCATATATGTTAAAGCTTGGATTAAAGCTAATTATAGTAAAACTTGACAACTCAAAATCTGTGTAGTAAAATATATATATATATATTGATACTGTATCTAACATAAACAAGAAATATGAAGCATAAATATTATTCGAGCGATCAGGATGCATAATATCGTTAACATGTTCTTTAAACAGATTACCTAGAGTCGCAGAAATTATAATATCAATGAACATATTGAATGACGTAGATAGAACTTATATATGTCACTACCCAAATTTTATGACGTAAAGATGACGTAAAGATGACGTAAGGTAGCTAACTTTGACCCTGCATCTATAATTATACCATTACACTTATATGAGAACACTATCTTACGAGAATTAGCATTAACATCTAATAAAGTTACAAATTTAATTTTAAAAGTACGATTTTCTTTTGGCATCTCATAGATCTTCGTTTAAATTATTATGTAAATTTAATTAATATTTTTATCTTAGTGATGAATCGGTCATCCTGGTAAAAAAAAAAAAAAAAAAAAAAAAAAAAAATCCAAAAAGTCCAAAACGTTACTACTAATTTTGCTATATAATTGGCTAATATTATTGCTTAATGCCGGCCTAGCTCCGATGCATTCCGATTCTAAATTTTAGCCGATCAGTTAATCTATCCTAAAAAAAGGGGTCGTCTAAAGTCCAACCGGGATCGCGAAATTTTGAAATAAGAAAATGCAAAAATATGAAAAACGGCAGTTAAACCTGTCTTGAAGCATTAACAAAAATGTCGGGCAATTTTACCTAGAAGTCTAACCTTTTTTTAACCCCACCCTAACGCCAAACTATCTCTAATTCTGATTTTAATTAAAACTTCGAATAATCACGTGGGTACATGGCTTTAGCCATCCCCCAAAGGCAATCCCCTAAATGCTAAAATAAGAGTAATTTTGATCTTTTTTTATACAGGCAATTGTAATTTTTAAAGTACTTTTAAAAGTAAAAGTCGTCATGCCATAAGGGAGAGTCGGATATTCAGGCACAGGAGGTAATGTGGCGCACTAAAGTTTTTTTAAAGTATCTCATAGTATAATAACCAGAAACGAACGATTTTAACACCATTTAATTCGCCTTATCAAGACGAATCGAATGGTGTTAAAATCACTTTAATTAGAACTCCTGGAAACTCTTGGCCACAAGATTCAAGCAACGTTAATAAAAAAAAAAAATACCAAAAGTTAACTAAAGTGTATTCGGCATGTCCAGCGCCTCTTAAGAATCTGCTTCATTTAGCAATTATAATTGTATTATTGCTCAAATGGCCAATTATAAAGTTTATGCAGTATGTACGTACGTACCGTATAGTGCAGTAGTGCTCTATAAAGTACCGGTGTGACACGATTTTATACATGGTGAAAAATTAACAATCACATGTATTACACAATTGATTATATCATATGTCATATATAAATAATATTAGCTCCACACATGGCACCATGTGCCACATTTTATATTTTACATGTAGAATACGTTTAATATATATTTATAATATATATACGTAGTATATAGTATTAATATAATTTTAGTATTGAGCAATAATGTAAAATTGAAATTATTGTAGATTTATTATCCACCTAGGTTGATTCAGGATAAACGTAGATTGTAATAGAATTCTAAAATGTGCTCGAGTTGTTAAAGAATTCCAATTCTACTTACAACAAAATTATGTGTACAATCGACTCTGGATATAACGAACCTTTTTTTAACGAACTCACTTTATAACAAACTTTTTTTAGCAAATTTATTATAGAGTTCAGTATAAAAACATAGTAAATTCTCTATAAGAAACTTTTTAAAAATTTTTACATATAGACTCTTAGGGTTCATTATATGCAAAGTCAACTGTATTCCAAATTATTTCATCGAGTATGTTGTTTGGAATTTAAATTTAAGATAGAATATATTATAACACAGTGCATTGCAAATTAATTAAATTTAAAAAGCATGACACAGAATTTTTATACATATGGGATAGAGTCAATAGAAATGGGACAAATTTATTAGATAAATTTGTCCCATTTCTATTGACTTCACCCCATATAGTTAGTTTAATAGCAACTATTCCTATAGAGTATTTTTTTTTTTTTTTTTTTTTTTTTAAACCGATGTCACGGGTGCTCATGCTTTATTGTGTTTTTATATGCTTATTTACAAACATTTTTGGTACATTGATGAGCATACAACTAGCCACACGTACAACTTTTGGTTGCCTATTTAAGTAGTCCACCCGAAGGTTCTACACTAGTTGCCATACCTGCAACCTGCTAGGAGATTGCCTATTTAAACCCTCAGATCTTCTGTACCCACTCCGCAGTTAGCCCCATAAGTTCCCATACACCAAGGTGCCATCTAACTCGACATTTGGTTTCCCTTTCTGTCTATGTACCCAGGCCGTCATCTAATTAAAGACTGCGTCACCCAGTAGCAAGGCTCAGGGTGCCTCCCTGTTAACAACCTACCTACTCTACGGTTTTATCAATAGGGCTATGCCCTTGCAAAGTTCACCCAAACCCCGGTACCCACTTCACAGCATATCCCTGGTACTTCGGTTCTCCTCTGTTTTGGTTCCAGACTCCCAATCCAGATGGCCCGGAAGGACTGTGACCTGTCTCTGGTTCATCGGCTCTGCCATGACCTTTTCCTCCAGTTAACCCAGCGGCCTGGTTGGTGGATCGGCTTTACCACAAACTGATCGTGCCCTGTCCGGTTCTTCTACTTTGGTTTCTTTTACCCAAAAAATCCTTATGAAGTATTTGATGATATAGCTCGCCATCTATGTGGCCTTTGATCTGACAAAAACCACCAACATCACGAGACGAGAAACAGCCCCAAATCATAACGAAATCACCCCCATACTTCACCGTAGGCTTAATGTGGAAGTTGCTTAAAGGTTTACCAGGACGCTTCCAATAATATTGCTTGCTGTCCAACCCAAAAATCTTGAACTTCGATTCATCAGACAGATTACCTTGGCCCAGTCTTTGTAGGTCCAACTTTCATGTTTTACTGCAAATTCTAACTGACATTTTTTATGAATACT